GCGTGTGTGCGTGTGTGCGTGTGTGCGTGTGTGCGTGTGTGCGTGTGTGCGTGTGTGCGTGTGTGCGTGTGTGCGTGTGTGCGTGTGTGCGTGTGTGCGTGTGTGCGTGTGTGCGTGTGTGCGTGTGTGCGTGTGTGCGTGTGTGCGTGTGTGCGTGTGTGCGTGTGTGCGTGTGTGCGTGTGTGCGTGTGTGCGTGTGTGCGTGTGTGCGTGTGTGCGTGTGTGCGTGTGTGCGTGTGTGCGTGTGTGCGTGTGTGCGTGTGTGCGTGTGTGCGTGTGTGCGTGTGTGCGTGTGTGCGTGTGTGCGTGTGTGCGTGTGTGCGTGTGTGCGTGTGTGCGTGTGTGCGTGTGTGCGTGTGCGTGTGCGTGTGCGTGTGCGTGTGCGTGTGCGTGTGCGTGTGCGTGTGCGTGTGCGTGTGCGTGTGCGTGTGTGTGTGTGTGTGTGTGTGTGTGTGTGTGTGTGTGTGTGTGTGTGTGTGTGTGTGTGTGTGTGTGTGTGTGTGTGTGTGTGTGTGTGTGTGTGTGTGTGTGTGTGTGTGTGTGTGTGTGTGTGTGTGTTGCATAACTCATGAACCGATACACATAAAAGCACCAAATTTTAAACTTAAGCTTTGTTCCAACGTCTAATTAGATTTTGGGCAGCGACGGAACATCTGGGGGGTACTTTATAGGTGGTCATTTTTATATTTTATGGAATATATCTGTTATTTACGGTTGGAGAAGAAAATTCTTCAAATAAAAGTTACTTCTAATATAATTATCTATAATTTTTTCTTTATGTCAAATTTTCCTGAAATGGTCCGTATTCGAGAAATTTGACAAAATGTGCAAAATTCTTATTTTTATGAAAATTGTTGAACTAAAAGTTATTTGCGATATCGATCTTTATAATTTTTGTTTATACATGATTTTTCTAAAATGGACCGTAATGGAAAAGTGCTAAATTAAAATTTTTCAGTATTTTCGTTTTCAATGAATATCTATAGAAAAATGTTTCGAGGTAGATGTATGTGGACAATGTATATATTTAGTTTATCCTCTAAACATTTATAGAGATGCTGCAATGGGTTGTACAAAATAACCGGAAAAATCATATAATAACTAGATAGGAGAGTCATGTGTTGGACACATCAGATTTTTTATGGAATATATCTGTTATTTAGGTTTGGAGAAAAAAATTGTTCAAATAAAAGTTACTTCTAATATTATCTATAATTTTTGTTTTATGTAAAAATTTCCTGAAATGGTCCGTATTCGAGAAATTTGACAAAATGTGCAAAATTGTAATTTTTATGAAAATTGTTGAACTAAAAGTTGTTTGCGATATCGATCTCTAAAATTTTTGTTTATACATGATTTTTCTAAAATAGACCGTAATGGAAAAATTGTAGGAAAAGTGCTAAATTAAAATTTTTCAGTATTTTCGTTTTCAATGAATATCTATAGAAAAATGTTTCGAGTTAGATGTATGTGAAAAATGTATATATTTAGTTTATCCTCTAAAAATTTGTAAAGGTGCCACAATAGGTTGTACAAAATAACCTGAAAAAGCCTATAATAACTAGATAGGAAAGCCATGTGTTGGACACATCAGATTTTTTAATAAGATTATCATTCAGTCAATCATACACAAACGAAACACTCGCTACAAACATGATATAACTACACCCAAACATCGCACTGAAATATTTAAACGTTCCTTCATGTACCAGGTGCTTAAAATATATACCAATATCTATAAAAAATAAATCAATCCAATCATTTAAAAAAGCATTGAAATTAAATTTACTCTCTAGAATATAATATTATTGTTGTTATATTTCTTCTTTTTATTATTATTACTATTTTTTTTTTGTTGAAGGCATCGATTACTAGATCATTAGCCTTTATTTAAACTTTGTCGGAACTTATTATTTTCAGATTTGCTATTTTCTGAATAGTAGGAGTTTTGATCAAACAATATTTATATAGATGTACAATATGAGAACCGTAATAGAATTAATATAATGGAAGTTGTAGGGAGATTATAAAACAAATTCATTTATATTTTGTTGTATATACCAATGGTTTTAAGGAAGTATAGGATTTTCTGATAAATATTTCACTTGTTAAGCAGAGCACTATATTGTTGGGGATTAGTAATTGGCGTCTAATATTTTCATATGCGGGACAGTCTAGGAGTATGTGATCTATCGTGGGTGTTGTTCTGCATATGCACATACTTTGATTACTATACGGGGCAAGAGAGAGGTCCGACACGCCCAACATAGGGCGCGGCCATTTTGAACCCTATGACACAGTTTATAGCTAAAGAATCAGATCGCTCACTCTGCATCGGCACTTTTTATCTCAATGTTTCAGTTTATACACTGCGCAACTCAGATAATACAATATATGACAACCGCCTATAATAAAACAACAGTCTTCTGCGTATCCTGAATTTGTATCCCTGGAGTGGATGTTATTTTGGAACTTTCAACTGGTCCGAGTGAGCTAACTGATTCTTTAGCAATAAACTGTGACTCCAAAAATAATATTCACTGACACTGACAGCAGCAAGCAAAATATCAGGTGCGTTTTAATCATCCGCTTCTGCTTCCGGAATTTTCGGTTCAGTCGTTCTAACCTGTCAGATTAAAACAAGAAAACCGACAATTCCGAAGCAGAAGCGGATGATTAAAACGCACCTATTAAAAATATTGCGCCAAGATGTAGGCAACACGTAATAAGGGTTCAAAATGGCGGAGTTTTCTATCTCCTTTTAAAAGGCACTCAGAAAGCTGCGCAGTACGACCATTCTCCGTATAGGCTGATTTTCACCCAGTAATAGGTAAGAAGAAGTAAGGGATGTATGTCCTACTCTGAGTCTGGTATGAATAACTTGTTCTTTTCGTTTTAGATTTAGTGATTGGTGTTGTGTGTTTTTAGAAGGTTTAACTCTACTTAGTTTTGAATGGTTTTGGCGCCATACCATTTGCCATTGTACTAGAATTTTATTTTTAATATACACTTTATAGTCCTCAGCTCTAATTGGGATATTTTCCGGATGGTCTCTTAGTACATCTTTTGCAACTTGATCAGCTTTTTCGTTACCTTGAATGCCTATGTGGCTTGGGACTCAAATAAAGATTACACATTTTTCTAACGAATCAAGATAGAACAGAGTTAGTAAGTTGTTTTTGATTAATGAATCGTTACTTAATGTATCTTGGATGGATTGAAGTGAGCTAAGTGAGTCTGTGCAAAATATATGGGTTTTATTGTGGTTGAATTCAACGAATTTTAGTGCCTCCCATATCGCCTAAAGTTCCGCTGTATATATTGTAGCAGTCGGTGGTAAGGACCAGGTAGAGATGATGTTTCCAGTAATAAACGCATTACCAGCTTTAACTGAATTTTTTGACCCATCTGTGAAAATGACATTGCTATCCGAGCAAGTATTTGTAATTTCCAAAAATTTTTGTTTTATTACATCTTTAGGTATTTAATTTTTATTGTGTTTTAAGTAATCGTGTTCAATGGGTGGATTTTTAAGTAACCAATGAGATACCTCGAATTGATGAAGAGAGAGGAGGGACGGGTAAGTTTCGTTTAGTTTTTCTAGTAGTTCTTTGAATCTAATTCGGGTTGGTCTTATTATTGTTCATCTCCTATTAAAGATATCATCTGCATCTGTAGAAGTAAGTATTTTAGAAACTGGATGGTTATTTTGAGCCAAAATCTGCGTACAATAAGTAGATATCAGTTTTTCTTTTCTATATTTTAGTGGAGGCATAGATGTTTCACAACATAGAGAGAGATAGGAGCTTGTTCTATAGGCTACCAACGCTGTATTTAAAGCTGCTCTTTGAATTTAGTCGAGAGGTTTCAGAATAGTTTCTCGTGCAGAGCAATAGAAAATAGTCGATTCTAGAAAAGATAAGAGATTTATAGAACATAAGTAGCACATTTTTATCAGAGTCCCATTTCATGCTAGCAATAGATTTCATAATATTTAGATATTTTTTACATTTTGTGATTGTGCTGTTGATGTACTCTTTCCAGTTTAATTTGTTATCCAAAATAACCCCAAGGACCCTTGTAGACGATTTGATTTCGATTTCATGTTCCCCCAGAAAGATTTTTGGTTCTCTATGGGGAGTTCTTAACCTACAGAAATGAACACAGTGTGTTTTAGATTTAGAAATTGAAAAACCATGTTCTTCTCCATAGCTTGTTAATTTGTTAATGTTTCTCTGTATGGTTTCCTCTGTTTTCTATCGTTTTGGATTCATAGTACATTATCATATCATCTAAATAAATACTTTTTCCAATCTTTTCTTCTACTGATGTGGCAAGTCCATTTATTGCTATTGGACTACACTTAATGTCGATTCCTGTGGAATGCCATTTTTTAGAGAATAAACTTTGGAAACAGTTTGGTTAATTTTGACCTTAAACGTTCTTTTTTTTAAAAAATGTTGGATAAAATATGGAAGATGTCCCTTAAAGTCCCAGTTATCTAACGTTTTAAGTTTGGTCAAATGCATTTTCTAGATCAAAGAAGGTAACAACGATATTATTATTACCACTACCCGTTATAATTTCAAAGTTATTTTTCCAATTACTAACATGTGTTTTTAGAAATTAGGATTTTTTTTTATACAGCTTAAGATGGAAAACAGAGGTTGTGTTTATGTTTCTTTGAAACATATGACACATCCACCTGATCTTCTGCTTTTTTTCTTACACCCTATCTCAATTAATTGTTTAATTACTGTATTTTTGTTAATATAAAGTTACTATATTTTGAAATACGCTCTTAGTAACGATTCTAGTTACTTTTCCCTGTGTAAATGCACCTTTTCAATTCGCTGCTCCTATTTTAAAAACAGAATATAGGGTGACGCCATATTCAGTATAGACTACAAGTAATTATGAAAAAAATTATTAATATAGATAAAAATAAATATAATTTTTTAGCTTATTGCTTAAAATTTGAGTGACGAAAATATGCTTACTCCATTAAGTTGCAAAATTATTGTAGCAAACTCCAGCGAACTTTGTAAATAATCAAATAGCGTTACATTACTCATTACCAAATTATAATCGTCCACATACCTAAAAGCAATAAGTACAAAATTAGTTGATATAATACAAATATGTGCAAGGATTAGATAAGTAACTAATTCTTACAGATATTTTACGCCGCGTATTGAATTGAAATTTAAGTCATTACCCAGCTTTATATATTTAAAGACCTTTTTCTTTTTCTACCTTTTACCCTTTTTCTACTTTTTAGTTTATGTTAATGAACTTATTTTTTTCATTTTCTCTAAGGGTCTAACTTAAAAAATGGGGCAATAATAAAATGTTATGAATATGAATTATTATTCAATAATAATGTCATAATTGATTATTCGATGGTTGATGGACAAAAGTTTGGAATTAGAATATTTACTGAATGATCGATATGTTTTTGAAAAGAAATGCCAGACGGGATTTTGAAATATTGAAGGTTTTTTGACTTTTTAGGATTGAAAACTGTTAGAAATAAATGAAAATGGAAAGAGATCTGTAATTTATCTTTTATAATAGATTATAAAACACAGTATTTTAATTATTGAGAAAGAACCCCTGGAGTAAGAAGCCTTAGGGGGTGAGGAAGCACTACCTCACCAAACACTTATTTCTGCCCAAATCATGGGAACAGAAGCAAACACAACGAATATAGGCAAAAAGATAGTAAGGATCAAAGGAGAATAAAATACGAAGAAGAAAGAGTCAGGGAGGAGTGAAAGATTAAAAGAGGGAAAGTAAACAGACACAGACAGAGAGTGAACAGTTCGTATCGTGTTCAGCGTCGCCAATCACACCAGCACAAGGAACCAGCTTAGCAGAAACCAGCTTCATCGACGATACGTTTTTGATAGCCAGATGTTCGCACTCAAAGAAAAACAGGAATAAAGATTGACGGGCAAATAGAAGAAACCGACGACTATTAGGAAGGGAAAAAGAGGGACAGGTCCTCTAAAGATTATGATGAGGGGAGAAAAGCCCTTCTCGATATCTTCGGGGAAAAATACGAACAACCCAGAAAGGTGAGAAAGACCAAGAAGAATAATGAAGAAAAAGAGATCAGGCTTAAATCGTTAAAAACGCTGGACAACATAGTGACAATGTTGACAAAATTGGAAAAAAAAATGAAGGCATTTAACACGACGATAAAAAGTGTTAGATGGAAGGCAGACAACCTTAAGATTGTATTACTTGTATTATTTTAATATTGATATAATCCAAAAACTGCATTATTATTGAGTTTTTGTGAACAAATCTTTATTTGGCTAACATTTTTTAATGCCACTAATTGTTACTGTCAACTTTGGATGGTCTCGAGCTTTTTTTCTTATATTTTTTTCCTATTCTTTTTCTTTTTTCAGATGGCTTCTTACCCGATGAAGACTTATTTGAAAAATTAACCACTACCGTGTAACAACCAGGTAGCCTAAAGACCATTTGTAACTACTGATAGGTCTTTAGCTATTGTTGTTAATATACTATTAAGGGATTAGGGCAGCGTTGTCACCAGCCAAAGGGTCCTGAAGTCCTGAAGGAACATCCATTCGCCAGTGGCAAAAGAAAATAATAAAGAAAAAATAATAAAATACAAAAAAAAACATCCCTTAATAGCATATGTCGAGCGGTTCTTGGCAACTAGTTTTAGACTCTTTTAGTCCTAAGGGAATAGAAACGCCGAGGCTTCTCAAATGCTCGGAGTATTTTGCTGGTTTGGGAAGGTAGGAGAGATTAATAATAAGTATTAAAATATTAACAAATGTATATTAACAAAAATATAAAATTTGACAAAATAAAAAAAAAATGAATAAAATTTCCATTTTGGGAATAAAGAACTATAACTAATAGTAATAAAGATATGCATAAGATAAATATAATTCGGGACGAAAATGTAAAATTAGCATTTAAATGTAAATCAATCAATCAATATTAAACAAAAAAAAAACACTTTAAAATTAAGTTAAAATATTTACCCATAATTCACATCGTACACAAAAACTATACTCTACACTTCACTTTACAATACAAAACCAGGGTTTCGCCCAAGGGGCGAAAGTTCTGGACCTTAGTCCGAACCCGACTGAGCGTTTTTCCCAAGTGATCCTTTCTATATAAACCAAAATTTATGTGACTGTTGATTGTATTTAACAATGTCACGTTCAATGTAGATTAATAAATTGAAGGTTTGTCTCATTGTGTCTTTTTAATTATTTAATTTAAACATTAAATACTTGTTTAGAATTTTTGGTGAATTCTTTAGATTTTTTCAATTAATAATAATGCCAATTATTACAACCGCCAGGAGAACAAATTACAATATTACATCCATTATGATAGACGTAGTATATAGAGAGAATGGACACTGGATTACAAATACAAAAAATGCATATTATGAACAACAATTCTTTTAATTTTAAACATTTATGCAAAATAACGCATCAATATAAAGTTTTTCTTTCATAAAATACATGGCTCCAGTGTGCAGTTCAGACTTTGCACGTTTAATATCCGCCAAAAGTCAATGCTTCCTTTGGTTCTAACTTAGCTTTTAAAATATGCAACTGTTTCTTCTAATGAAGGTAGAGGTGAAGAACTATTAATAGCACTATCGATACTAGTGACGGCTTGTGACCAATATTTTGGGGGTTCACAATGACAGAATATAGATCTCAGAACATATGTAGGAAAAAAACTTTCAGTGTTTTAGAAAGATATATTAAAACTTTTCTAAAACACTTAAAGTTTTGTACTAACATCTGTACTGAGATCTATATTCTGTCATTATGAACCCCCAGTTTATTAGTCAAGAGTCGCCACTGATCGATACTATCGATAGTTTTCGATAGTATGCTTTCTGTCTAATACTGACAGTTGACATTGATAGTTTGACTTCTTTCAATGTTTATCATAGATGGTGAAAATCAAATAAAGAAAATAAAACTAAAAAAAATAAAAAATGTTTATGTTAAGAGTTGTCATTTTCATAAATGTTGATTGATTTCTGTTTTGATTTTGACTTGATAAAATATAATTATATTGTTCAAACAATTTAATTAATTCGTTTAAACCAAAGATTATACGAAACTGTAATAAGATTGTAACTGATAATATGGAGACATTTCTTATTTGTACAATTCGCAGTAAACTGGGAAGAAGCAAAAGTAAGTTTGGATTTTGTCTTGTTTTTGGAATTCTCTATATTATGTCCATTTTTATTTTGTAGGTACCAGTGTTGAAGAAACTGAGAAAGGCCTATTAATAATCCTAGTATGCATGATAAAGATGGTGATGAAAGTTTAGAATCCAATAAAAGGAAAAGACTAAAGCTTTCCAAAGTTTGGAACTTTTTTATAAAGTCCACTGATAAACAATTTGCCAATTGCTTGAATTGCGGCAAAAAATATCAAACGAGTGGGTACACAAGCAATTTGAATGACCATGTCAAACGACACCACCCACATGTTATAGCAGAACCTAGGAATATCCAAAGTACTACAGTACGACAGTGCTTCAAGCTCAGCAAGGTCTAGCAACAGATCAATTGCCCTTTTTTTAGGCGTGAAGCTCAGTATAATAGCGATTCTAGAAGGAAAAAGGAGCTAGATAGGTCGTAGGCCTTAATTATTGCAAAGGACTTTCAACTTTACAATATTCCTAATGATACGGGATTCAGATCATTTATTATATATATACTATTCGAGAGACAAGTTTGAAAAAATGTATATTGACACACGTGAAAACCTGAAGAAAATTCTTAATTTGTTGCAATTACTTCAGATTCATGGACTTCAGTCGCAAGCCAATCATTTTTAACTGTAACTATACCACTGATGATTTTGAAATTAAATCTGCTCTTTTGTCCACAAAACCGATAAAAAATGGAATTCACCATATATCGGAAAATGTTGCTGCAGCGTTGAGTGATGTATTTAATGAATGAAATATTGAAATGAAAACCACATGTATAGTAACAGATATTGCCCTAAACATGGTAAAAGTTTAAAGGAAAGGCACATTCCATGTTATGCACACACCATTAATTTGGTTGTCAATGACAGTTTGTCACTAGATCCAGTAAAGTCAATTTTAAATTGTCCGCTTTGTTAAGGCCAGTAATGTTGCCACCGATATTTTCAAAAAGGAACAAAACACTGATACTCCATTGAAACTGATTTAGGAAGTGGCAACAAGATGGAATAGTGCTTATGAAATGATAAAGAGAATTTTAAAAACTAGTGAAGCTCTTAATAGATGACTATTAAAAATAAAAGAAGCTCCACTCCCTTTAAGCATAGAGGAAATAACTGTTTTAACAGATATGGAAAAATTACTGGCCCCATTTGATAAAGCAACTGTAAAGGTATCAGGCTCAAGCTATGTCATCATATCATTAATTATTCCCTTAACCATTGGCATTAAAAAACTTTAGTGAAGATATCTTAACAAAAGAAGAAAAGCAGATGTGTCAAAAATTATTAAATTTAGTAGAAGTTAGAATTTTCCCATATGAAAAGAGGACTGAGGCTCAAATGGTTTTCGAAGTATGGATAATGCAAAAGCAGCTAGACAATTTTTGGAGCAAGAAATGGTAAGAATTTTAAATAAAGAAGGAAATGAAGATCACGATAGAAAAAACAATTCGATGAGCAGTTTAAATAAAGGTAGTAATGACGGCGATAGTAACAAGTCATCATCATCAATCATCATCATCATCATTTTCTTTTATGAATGAAAGAGTAAGTCAGAAACGAAGTTCAAAGAAAATATATGCCATAATAATAACGAGACAATACCTAGAGAGACAAAATTCTAATCAAAGAAGTGACCTTCTACTCTTTTGGAAGGTGAGTTAAGCTAAAAGTATTATCATGTTCATAATCTGTATAGTGTTGTATTGTTTCAGGTAAATAGAACTGAGTATCATCCCCTACAAAAATGCGGGAAAAAAAAATATTTATGTGTGCGAGCTACTTCAGTAGAATCTGAGCGTGTCTTCAGTGCTACAGGACACATAATTACTGAGAAAATGTCAAAGCTTAAGCCAAAAAATATTGATATTTTAACGTTTTTAAATAAAAATTATTGGTTAGTTAATAAAGAGATATGAACAGAGATTTTTTTTTTCAAACTATCGATAGTGAAATCCTTGATTATCGATAACTATCGATAGTGCCAACTAGCACACATCTTTTCTAGAACTTAAACTAGACGAATTTTCATTTATGCAAATTTGCAAGGGTGTCTTTTAAATATCTTTTTTGCATTGTTGTGTTTTTTATGGTTACGATGCCTCTTTTTCCTGGTGCTAGAGTTGAATTTTCGTGGTTAGTTAGAAATATTTCAACTTAAGACTTTACTTCAGTCATTTTTTTTATTATTATTTTCTTGTCATGTCTTTTTAGCGCTGATCTAGAATTGACAGTTCCTTAATATATGATACTTATTATTCTGTGAACCATCTTGTATTTCTTAACTATATGGCTACCTTTAACCTAACTAATAACGTCTATTTTTTGCTGCTAGAACTGGAAACTTTTTAAATTGTGTCCAAAAATTCTTTCTTAACCTCGACTCGATCTGATTGGTTTCAAATTAGATTGGTTTTACTATTTGGGGAAGGCAAGTCTTGAGGATTTGAAAGACTTTGGAGTCGCTTTTTGTAGGATTCAGTTCTGCTATTCTCAATTTCAAGTTTGTCTTTTAATTTCTTTTTTGTCGTCGTAACACATTTATTATTTTTGAAACGTCTTACTTCGATGTATCTGGAGCTTATTCTGATAAATTTGGGAAATTTTAGTGTCTTGAGTGGAGTAGGTTAATTAATAAAATTGACCCTATAATTTGCGGAGTTCCTATGCTACTTACTTTTTTGAATTCATTATTGTTTTCTGTCTAAATAATTTATCCCTTTTACTTTTTCACTCTCCTATTTTCTTATAGTTCTCTCTACGTTTTTTAAGATATTTTTTTCTATTGTTTTGCATTTTAGCTCTGTGGTATGGTAGAAGAACACAGCTACGTCATCATTTGGTAACGTATTTAATTGGTTATCACCGCCTATTGGGCTTTTAGTAGAGTGTTAATATTATAGAAATAATAATAATAATAATAATAATAATGTTTATTCATAAATAATGCAATTAAATTAAATACAATATAATATTTGTTATGAATAAAGAAAAAAATATGCTAAGTGTTAAACACTTGTGCACAGTAAAACAATAGGTATACCTACATTTAAAATGAACTCTTAACTCGTGGCAACGCTATTTGTACAATTGAGGTGACAGATATTTAAAAGCACAGCTTGTTAAAATATCTGCAACCCACAATGCCAAATTTATTATTTAAAAATAGTTTTTATATTTTCAAAAATTAACTTAAACAATCTTTCCTTACATTGCTATGTACACATTTACAAGTTTTACAAATTTTGAGGTTAAAAAGAAGAAACAAAGTAACAACTAAAAGAAGTTATCCAGATGATAACTCTATTAAGGTAAGCTTTATTTATTATTTGTGTATGTATTTAGTTATTCAGTTTAGACCTTTTCATTATTTAATTATTTATTTATTTAATTTCAGTTCTCGGATTTATCGTACTATAGATTTTTTAGGTCTATCCAACTATGTATCTCATTCCTATTTTTTGAGAATATCCAATTTTTAACTTTTTTTTTAAACATCTTTATAGAATTTAATTGTTTAAAGGGTGGTGGAATTATATTGTATAACCTAGGTCCTAAATAGAAATAGCTTCTTTGAGTTCCCGTTTTAGAGACTTTGGGTATTATTGAAATATTTTCTTTATTCCTTGTATCATAGTGGTGTTCTAGACTATTCAAGTCGTTTTTATAAATGTGTTGCCTTGTAAGAACTGATAAACAAAAAAGTTGCCTAATATCAAAAAACTTACAATCATTAAATAACTGGTCAGAAGGGTACCTAATATGTTTTCCGTATATTATTTTTATTAACCATTTTTGGGTAATTTCTAATTTGTTTAAATAGTTATTTGTCACGCCTCCCCAGGCCATAATACCATAGTTAAGATGAGGCTCTATAAGTGCATGGTAAATTATACATAGTTGCTCTATATTTAGTATTTGTTTTAAATATCTGAATCTCCATAACATTGATCTTAATTTTTTTATTATAAAATTTACATGTATATCCCACCTGAGATGTGAATCCAAGTATATGCCCAAATACTTAACATGTGTTTGCCCTGCTATGGTAATATCTGCACATGAACAGTTATTTTTAATGACTAGTTCGGTAAACTCAGGTAAGTTACTATTTAAGGAAGTAAAAGGTACATAGTAAGTTTTGCTGTAATTCACAGTTAGTAATTTAGTTTTGAAAAAGTGGATTATTTTACACATTTCCTTTTCTACTTTTGATTTTAATTGGTTCCATGTTTCTGCACTAAAAATTACTACAGTGTCATCAGCAAAACTGACTACTTCGCCATCAACTTCCAAATCAAATAATTAGTTGATTAATATATATATATATATATATATATATATATATATATATATATATATATATAGGTCCCATGACGGTTCCCTGAGGTACACCATATTGTAACGTTTTCTTTATACTTACCGTGTTATTAATTTTTACAGATTGTTGCCTATCACTTAGGTAATCGCTTAATAATTTATATGGCATACCTCTAATACCTATGTTTTCAATTGTTTCCAGTAACTGTCTGTGATCAACCGTATCAAACGCTTTTTTTAGATCAATAAATACTGCCATACAAGGTTTGCGATTATCAATAAATTTGTAGATATTTGTCGTTAAATATACGAGAGCATCCTGTGTAGACTTTTTTTCCGTAAAACCGTATTGCTTAGGTGATAAAATATTGTTCTTATTTAAAAAACTAGTAATTCTATTTTTCAATATTTTTTCAAAAACCTTAGCAACACTGGTTATTAGAGAAATGGGTCTATAATTTGTCATATCTAGCTTATCATTATTTTTAAAAATTGGAGTAATAATTGTATCTTTTAATATATTTGGAAATAAACCTCTTTCTAGACATTGATTAATTAAATATGCAATTACGGGAGATATATATTCTTTAGTCTCTTTTAATATTTCTGAAGTGATTTTATCATGTCCGGGAGCTTTGTTATTTTTTAAATTATTTATGGTTTCATTTATTTCTTTAACTCTACTGATTTAAAAAATATTGATTGTGAAAAATATCTTCTTTTAATGTTTAGTTCAGTTTCTAAACAACTGTCTATCTGATTGGCTAATGTTTGGCCTATATTTGTAAAAAAATTAACAAACGCATTTGATATCATTTCATTTTGCGTAATTTTTTCTCCAGTTTCAGAAATAATTTCGTTTATTTCATTTTCTTTTTTAGATTTGCATATGTCATTTACACAATTCCATATATTTTTAGAGTCTAGTTGATTGAATCCTATTTTATTTTGATAGTAATTTGCTTTAGCAACTCTAATCAAGTTATTTAGTTGATTTCTATATTTTTTGTAAATATTTTTGTTTTCTGTATTGGGTTCTTTTTTCATTATTTTAATTAAACTATATTTTTTATTTATAGATTTTATTAATCCGTTCGTTATCCACGGACTCCTTTTGTAGTCTTTTTTTGTAACAAATATTGTTTCGGTATTTTTTACTATTAAATTATGTATGTTTTGTATAAAAGTACAAAAAGCATCATTAATGTCTGTTTTTAAGTAAATTTCTCTCCAATTTTCACTTTTAATATTTTCTAGAAACTTTTTTTTGTTAAATCTATTCAATGGCATTATTTTGTTAACATTTTGTTTTTTTGTTTCAGAAAAAATCATCTGAATTAATGTAGAGAAGTGATCCGTGATTATCGTGTCTAATATCATAGGATTGTATTTACATTTTAGTGTATTTTTACTTTTAATAAATATGTGGTCTAGACATGTTTTTGTGTTATTTTGTATTCGTGTTCTCATGTTTATTGTTGATACAAAGCCCTTTTCATTTAATATATTCAAGTATGTTTCGCATATTTCATTATTTTCATCTAACAAATCAATGTTTATATCTCCTGCCATAATATGGATGTCATTTTCAGAATTATTATTAGAAAAATATTCATTGAGGGAGTCGCAAAAGACTTTTGGGCAAGTTGATGGAGACCGGTAGATGGCTGTGATAATAATGGTTAAGTTAAAATAGCACAACTTTACTTGTACGCAGTTAGATAAACCTATTTTAACTATTTTATATTTATATTTTAGTTTATTGTCTATATAAACTACTACTCCGTCGCATTTATTTAAGTCACCTTCACTATAGATCGAATTATACCCTTTAATAGTAAGAAGTTCCATATCACTAATTTGCCTAGTTTCAGTTAATATCATAATGTGAAAGTCCAAATTTAAATCCCCAATTAATGCTTTAAATTCATCTAGAAATATAGGAAATATTGTTTTACACCTAACTTACCAAATTTTTGTTTATTGAAAGTTATAGATAACATGCATTCGAAATTCAAAGTAAAGGTTATGACGTAACTGTGTTCTTCTAATTGTAATCGGACCCTACCTATTTTTTCTCTTCCTCGGAAGATATTTGATCGTTTGTTAAAGATTTTTTCTTGTGTCTCTTGCTATTTGATTTCAAACTAAGTACAGTAGATGGCATTGCTTGTCGACTTGCTTACTATCTTCATTTTCAGAAATCGGGGATAAGACACATTTTTGTATTTTTTAGAATTTGCTAGGATATTTTGGTGAATCTGGATCATATTGTTGGCAGTTTACTTAATTTGTACTTGGAGCCTGATCTAGTTGGCCATTGTTAGTATTTTGTTGTTTTTTTTTAATATACTATCTTTCTCGTTTCCGTTTCTTTTTCTGTTCATATTTTTCTATTTATTATTGAGCTCTTTTATTTGCCGCTCCTTCTTTCATTGTTTTTAATTTCCCAATAAAACTATTTACAACTATTTTTGAATGTTTTTCCATAAAATAAGAAATATCTATTACCAAAAACCAGTCATGTGTGTCTCTATAATGTCATTGGTGTATTTTTAACTATAGGTTTTGTCAGGGATACTAATGATGGAGACTCCGATAATGTTTTGTATAGTTTTTATAATCTCATTCTACAAACGTATTTTCTAACTTCAAAAACATTAAAATATTTCTACTAGATTTTTAAATTATTGTAGACTTAAATAAAAGTAAACAACTAACCGTTGAAGTAGAAACTCCTAGGGACACTGATGATTCACTTTTTAGTGGCAACTGTATTTTTTACTTTTAAACTACTACTTCTGCTAAATTCGGCTCTCTACTGCACGTCTTTTTATCACCAACTGAAGAAGTATTTATGTTTATGTGAAATAACGTCAAAATTACAAAATTGTATGCATCAAGTTTGATGTCAAATTTAAAAAAAAAAATTGTATGGACCTGATAATTGGATTTGAAACAGATAAATATCTACTGGGGACAGGGAACACCAATGATTTTTAGGCTTTTGTTTCCATTTGTTAAACAACCTAAAACTTATTTCCAGGATAAAAATCGTTTGTCTAGGTAGAATGACTAAGAATTTACAGAGATATTTTGTGTATGTCAAATATTTAAGTTACCTGAGAATCTCCCCAATAACACTTATAATAATTACTTACGACTTACTTAATTATTCTCTTATGTAAAAGAATGCACTCTCTCAAAGTAGCAAAACTGGCAGTTGCATCATCATATCCACAGTCAATTTTAACCTTTGACACATATTTGTCAAAATTTTGAAATATGTGTGTTAATATCCTTATTTCCGTCAAAGGATGGATAATTAGACTAAAATAAAATGGAGAAATAAAATATCTTTTCTAATATATGAAAGATGTAAAATATAAAAATTTTCATTATCTATGAGCTAAAGAAGATATTAAAAAATTTGTACCGAATATAAACAATTTATTTTGTATTCCTAAATTAACAATATGTAATAAATATTTAATTTATAGTCCATTCATTTAGTTTACACCAATATTCAATTCAAATATATTGCGAATTACTTTTTTTGGTTTGTATCTTTTCATAATTTAAAACAATATAGACAGGACTCTGCCTATCTTTGATGATATATAGGTTCAATCACTCTCTAACATATTTTAAAAACATGACAAATACCATAAAGTAAGTTTTAGATTGATATTAAGAATATGATAGCTTTTTATTTTTTGTTGTCTTCACCTTGTGGGTACATGCATCCAGAATAAATTTCATGTTTTAATACCAATTATTTAGCAAGTTTGCCTGCTTTATTTTTAATCAAATTTACGACTTACAGTAAATATGTGAAATATGTGTAGATTTTTAATTACTAATTTAATTAATATATCTTTTATTTAACAATTCCTATCAACTAAATGACAAACAAGTAACACTACAAGTAAGTATATGCTATTCCCACGCCTCCTCTTTTATTGTTCTGTCACAAAACACTTTTTTTATTCCTAACTAGGTGTCTTCCACATGAAGTTTTTGTAGTATATATCTGTTTTCTCCTACTTCTGCTGCTTTTCCAATCCTGTCCAATAGTCTTTTTTATTCTGTATTCTTACTTTTGTTCTTACTGTAATAATATTTAAATTTTTGGGGTGTTTGTTGTAGTATGAAATTACTGTTTTAGTTTCAGCCAGCCTTTTAACCAGACTTGCAGCTGTCCTTTGTCATTCTCTTGAAAATGCTATGTAGTGAGTTGATACCTACCAGTGATCTTATTGGGTGTCCAAATAAAATCTCAGCTGGTGACTAGCCATTTGATTTCGGTGTATTGCACCATTCTAGTAAACCTGAACAAAATTTTTATTTATTTATTTATTTATTTTATTTTTTTATTACAATGCTCTACAGGCAATCCCAATTACAGACATTGTTTATACATTTTAAAATCAAATATTTCATAGACTTTACCTCAGCTTCTGTATGACGGTTGCTCTGTGGATATGATCCAAGTTTTTAAAAACGTGCTGAACTCCGTGGATTTATATTGTGGGTCATTATCGGACCGGAAGCGCAGAGGGATCCCGGTATCTGCGAATATCTTCCTCAAGTCTTTGATAATAGCTAAGCTTGTCGGGTCTCTATTCCTATAATGGCACACAAGAGGCCAACCGTTAATCTATAAACATAGACAATGTACTTTTTTCCCGAGCACGAAACATCTTGAAAAGGTAGAGTTGGTGGTGGGTCGCACAAAGGTTTCTTTTTGTAACAATGGTATGACTATTTGGCATGGTTCTGTCCAAAAAACTGTTTGACGAGCACGTCGTTTTGTGTGTTCTTTACCTTGGTGTGAATCGTGTAATCTGTCTAGAACCATTTTTCTTGCAGAAACAGGAATAACAATTTGATAATGTTTTAAAACTGACCCAGTGTCGTAACTTAGTTCATGTCTCACGTCCCATTACGGTGTCATTGAAGGGTTAACTTCCTTTTTCGTCTCTGGAAATTCCTTTTTAATTATATATATTAAAATTTGATATAGTTGGTAATTTTCAGCTATTTTTTTAATTTTACATAACAGTGGATCCTGAAGGTGTGAATTCTTCAGTAACTCGTCAGTATTGTCAATCAATATGATATGGTTCTCCACCGATGGGATTTTCGTTACATGGAACGTCTGTTGGTGCACTAGAAAGCGCATAGGTATACAATGGTCTTGTCCTTTTGTCCTCTCAGCTTCAAAGTTGTATCAGAATACTTTTTCTTTGAGACGCTGCAATCTTGGATTTTCAATCATATTATGTTATGGTTTAAGCAATCTAAAATATAAATATATTTCAAATACTTTATTTCATCGTTTTCATCTTTGTAATATATTACAAATGGATGAAGTGTTGCCTGACTGGTAGTCCAGTGGTATGACTGAACCTCATCCTGTAAGACAAAAGAATCATTTTCGGCAAAATCACAAGTGATTAGAGCTACTTCCATTATTAAATTTGTTTTAATCTAATTGTAAAAATCTTTTTGCATAGTGGAAATAAACGAGTGTGTTTTTAGTTTAACTAAATCTTGCACAAATTCCTCAAGAAAATCTTCAATGGGTTTAATAATCGTCTCCATGTTACAGCGATCCACAGAAACCCACTTCTTGTATGTAACATTATCAATAAAAAATTCATCGAACTTTTTCATTAAAATTTCTTTTAGAATTTTAGTTCTAGGACAAGTTTCACATTTGCCGAGGTACAATCTACGCTTGCTGGATTGCACATTATTTTTGCCAACATGCGTGGTAGTCTGAAAACATCGCTTTCTTAGTGTCATCAATGGTGATTTTATCAATTTTGGAACCACTCATCGTCAATTTAATATTTTGATGAAACGCACACTGAATTTGTGCCACTTTTTCCGGCAAAGATGCAGTTTTTTGGTTTCAGTTCATAAAATTTGGTGAAGCCAATTTTTATTTCATAAACAAAAATAAATATAGGTAGGTACATGTAGGAAGGATAATTAAGAGTTGCCGTTTCTTTGAAGAAATATGGCAACAGGTTTGTTTGCAGCGCCACCGGTAAGGGATTTGTCCAACTATTTCTCAGTCGGTAATATAGATACCTGTATATTTTATTTTATTTAAAAATTAGCGAGATTTTGTTTGTAGCTCTACTTTAATTAGTATAACTAAAATTTTGCATTTTTATTGGCATTTTTTACAACACAGACAAGGTGCAAGATGTAACAAAATGCCAATCAAAATGTAAAATTTTATGACCCATAATTTTAGGAAGGGTAAAATAATGTAATATAAAATAATTGTATTATCTATTATATCATTAAAACTAATTTATAATAAATTTTCTAAATAAACAATATTTTAATAAAACAACTAAAACTTTCTGTAAACTTGGGTAGGTAACAAAACACATTAAGGAGAACCATCCATATAATCTGAAACAGAAAAAATTCAAAGTAGTATTTTAACTTCATATCATTTTGAATATCTTTTTTCTTTTAGACATTGTCACAGTTTTATACTATCATTATAATATTTTATAATTAATAATGGTAATCTTTTAATTAGATTGTAGTACTTTTAAAAAAACAGATGTCTGCGGGATCAAGCTTTGAGGTCCTTCTTTGAATCGCAAATTTTACTTTGCTGTTTTCTAATTATAAAATAGTTTTTTCTCCCTTGGAGCTAACCATTCACTGGATTGATTTAAAAATCCAAGAGCTAATTATTGTTTTTTAGGTAATAATTATATTTCATTGGATGAAATTTTAATCGAATGTAACTTTCTTTTCACTGGTAATTTGTTTGACGGTATGATAACAATATTACTTTAGTATTACTCTTTACTGTTAATTTAGCTTTCAAGGGTACCAAAGGTAAAGCCAATTTACAGTCTTGTAATCTATAAATGGTTTTTCGCAAGTGGAATGATGAAGTTTATGCGGCATCATTTAGTTCCTTGCTTAATATCGGAAGGAAATAAAAAAAATGTGTTCTTAAAATATACAGCATAAATTGGACAGTAAATTGTTCTATTTACCTTTATACAAACAACGCTATTACAATTAGATATTATGAATTTATTACGAACAGGACCTGCTAAACACATGTTAAAACATCAAAATATCTTTGCTTAATTTTAAATTTAACATGTTTAACTAAAACTAAAATTAAATAAAAGTAAAAGTACTTACCACGTTTTATTCAGCAACCATAACCATATTGTTTTGTTCAGTTTTGTTATTGTATCGGTTCGAACGGGCGACAATCCCAAAGTCAGATTTACATTGTACAAATAATTGATTAATTCATGTTTTTCAAATAATTGTAGTATTTATATAAATATATAATTTTAAAACAATACTTACCGTGTATTACTTTTGTTATTAAGCGAAATATATTTGAATTATTCAATTATTCAGTGTACTTTAAATTTAAATATCATTTTATTATTGTAAAACGGACTGATATGCGCGGATGTGTTGCGCACTAACCTGTTGATATAACGCGCATATGTTATAAGCCCCCCTGGGTAGGTACTTAAAATCAATACCACAAAATGTTTTTTATTGTTTAAAATGTAAAATAGGGCTACTGGTTTCGGCTCAAGGGGTCTCATCAGTCTTAAAAGGAAGAATAACAATGGTAAACCATCTATTTTATGAGGTAATAGTTAACAACAGAGAACATAGTCAAAACTTATATTAATGTTAAGGAACATGAAAAGTTAATTAAAACATAAACGTCTGTATCTACCTTCAAAGTTAACACATTCGATAAAATGAAAATAAGCTATACTGTACTAAAAAGTGGAAGGTATTCAAAAGTGTGATCTCTTCAAGATGAGACAAAGAGATTTCTCAAGTTGTGGGAAATTGCAAGTTTTCATCCCTATTAAATTATAAATTATTTAAAAAGTAATTATTGCACTACGTATTCTAAATGTAATGTAACGCAACATGGTTCGTCGTAGGATTTAATGGTTGCCGTATTAGCAGTATAATTTCTATTAATATGTCATCCAGATTACAAATCACGGTGCGTTACAGTTTCGATGATGGTGAGTGAGGTGTTCCGGTTTTTCCTCACCTGTGAGTCAAATGGCACCATAAATCATCTTTGAGTCGCCTCGGAGCGCCACGGTTAATAATAATAAAAACCGTCCCTTCCCCGGATAAGCTTAGCTTTTGGGGTCAAAATTTACTTGTAAGGGGATGAATTCGGGAGAGTATTATTATTATTATTATCATCATCGATGCCGTGTATTGGTTTTGCATGACCGTACAAGGATGTCTAAAATAAATTTTTGTACTCACCTGTGAGTAAACATATCAACACTTATCATAGTAACAGTAAATACTAATTCCAAAGGGATTTGAAAAATGACACCCGCATAATAATGCTTAGTTTCATCAAACGGAAACCATGTTGAAATTGCATGAATTCTTACTACGACCGTTTTATTTAAAACTGGGTCAAATTCTTCAGTTACATTAAAAAAAGGCCTTAAAACGATTAGAAGAACACCTGAAATAAATAAATTGCTTCGATAAACTTGATAGAAATTTTTAAGATAGATACCGACGTACAGAATATCACTTCGAACAAACGAAACGAAGTGAATTACAGGGAGAAGACATATCAGAGTGACAATTCTAATACAAATAACTCAAAGCATGTTCCGAGCGCATTGACTATTGCGACACGCTTGGTAACAAGCACGAATTATTCACTGGTAATGCAGATTTCCATTAATTTAAATTTAGGCAGTAACATCAAAAAACTGTTTGCAATAAAAATTTGTAAGATTGTAGACAAAATCGATGTTTTGCAGAATTGTAAAAAATATCAAATTACGTAAAAAGTTATAAATTCATTGAGTACAGATTTATATTTTGAAAAGGAAATGTCATTAAACAGAGGACGGAAGGTATTGTGACGATAGTTTAATTTATTTATAGTTTATTTATTAAAAACACACTATTTACAATTTATTTATGACGTACTATTTAATTTATATAATACTTAGTCACTAACTAACAATTCTAATTTATTTGTTACACTTTAACTTTTCATTCCAATACTTTAAAACTAAACTAAACGACGATGAGTCGGCTATTTATGCCAAGTCCAACTCTGCTACGAGAAGTCTCTAGATGCTCCCGAAAATTCCATCTCTGACTCAACAGCACACTTGGCCCGTTTTAGCCGTTTCTCGAGCCTAAGCGACATTCCTAGAATATTCCGTCGTTTCGAGCTTGAGTCCTTTGCCACAGACGTGAAGGCCGCTTGCTTAGACAGAGTCGGCTTTAGAAATTTCATGACAGTATTAAGTAAATGTACATAAAGAACATATGTTTAGTTTGCCACATAAAAATCTAAAAAATTACATTAAAATCACAAAATACTGAAATAAAAAGTAAAATTTTTTGGTTGCATAAAATAGTAAAAAAATTACTAAAGTCACAGTAATTTAAAAAAAACATTGATTTTAGTTCGTTTAATTGTCAAGAATATTCTGTCCATATTTTAAATAAACTGTTGGATATTTTAGTACCATTTAATATTCATAAGTATAATGAAGTATTTTAGGCTGATTTAGAAAAGAAAACATTCAGAAAATGCCGGAAGAGAATACAGGATGTTTCATTGGGAAAGGTCCTAACTTTAACTGTAGATGGGGATTACTTTGGTGTTTCCGAAAACCTATATTTAATGTATCTTCTGTACTTTATAACCGAGATACAGGGTGTTTTATAAATTTATCCTATTTCTTTCGAACTCATAACTTCCGAGTTACCCTGTATATTATTTTGAAATTTTGTACACGTAATAACCATTACCTGGAAATTCCATCAAAAGTATCTCCAAAAAGTTAATGCAGGTCCGGCTTAACAAAAAATTTCAAAACTCGTCTTTCCTAAAAACAACACCCTGTATATAGATTTTTTAAAATTGCTCTTTTAATTGGAAAGAGTATAAAAAATCAAATATACTTATTTCCTTTTTATTTTTCCGCAGACAATTTTACTACCAAAAATTTACCGTCAAAGTTATAATTTATGCACGTTTTGGGGGTTAACAATGGTATCGGAGAGTTTTTTTATTTTTTAGCTTAAAAAGAAATCTATTTAATGCATCTAGAGAAGCATCCTAGAAATGCAATTGAGTTTGTATGTTTACGAGTACAGATCACTAAAAAATGTGATTACAGGGCCGTACTTAGGACATACTCATTCAATATGTTTCGAATATTATAAGGATATGAATCTGGAAACTATGCCCTTCTACATGTAGAATAACAAGAGTAAAATACGAGAAATAAATTTATACTTCAAAAAACGCAGAGATTTTTATTAATTGATATGAAAAGAAAACAAGAAATTCTAACAACATTATTAGTTTAGGAGCCCACTGCAAAATGTTGGGTCGATCACTAGTATGGCTAAATTTTCATGAAAACGTCGGGTAATATATTGTACAATAGAAATCCGTCGGCAGCCGCCCCAATATCGTTTGCGTTTTACGTTATAAAAAATTATTAACAATTGAAAATATGTGCCACCCTCCACCCATCGCTTTTTTGCCAAATTTTCTACTTAATCGATAGATGGTAATTAAATATAATTTTCTATACCCGGCTGCCGACCATCATCCTTTGCGTTAAGGGTGGCTGATGGGGCTGAAAAGTACTATATCGATGTTGCTTTTATACACTCATCGCTTTTATAGTCAAACTAAATACCGTTGGAAAAGTCGCAAAATTTCCAACACGAAAATACCCGGCTGCCGCGCGAAAGCGTTTGCATAACTTAGGCTGCTGCGTATTGTGCGCGCGCAAGATTCGATCACGTATGAAATCCGCGCTTTAGATAAGGAGTTTGGGAGTGTGCGCACAGCTGATGTTTATTTGACATCTGTTATTGTCTCTGATTGGAACACGCGAGTTTACGATTAAAGCTAGAGCGTCTCGCCTTCATGTATTCTTTGATTATTTGTTATTCTGTTGTTTTTATAAATATATAGTTTATGTGTTGTTTTTTTATTGTTTTTATTTTTAGTTATGCTTAAAACGTCCCTATATATCTAAAGCAGAGAAAGTAATTAATGTTCAAGAGAGGTAAATAAATAGAGAAGTCTTAATTTAATTTTGTTTTTTGCAATTTATAAAATTATACATCGTTAAAGTCAACAAAATGTGAAAAAATAAGTTTAAGAATATACACTAAATTCCTCAGAATAATCGCTTTCTGAGTAATTGATATCGGAATGGACACCGCTGTCACCCAGATAGCACAGGACGTCCCATGGACGTCCTGATTTGATCCCTTGTTGGTCCGGTTGGTCCTGGACCTAAATAGGACGTCCAGTGGACTTCCGATTACCGTGAACACTGGAACGTCCTCTGACAGACGTCCTCTGGACGTTCTATTTTGGTCCCATTTCGTCAAAACGTTTAGTTTTCGGTCCGAGTCCAGGACGTTAATGGGACGTCTATGGGACTTTCTATGTACTAACATCGTTGGTCTTTAAATCGATAACTTGAAATTCAACATTTTGTTTTTGCAAGAGTATGAGGACAGAAAACCTAACCTATCATTTATTTTCAAATGAACAACAACAGTTACAAATTTCGGAATTAAATAATTAACTTATATAAGTGAGTTAGATTAACGAAAAAAAAAAGGTAGTATAGTGTTGTTTTTTTTTTTTGATGTTGGTGGTAAAGAGGTTATAAGTGAGTGTTTTTTGTTGAGGTGAGAATAAGTGATGTGTATTGGCGGTAGCCGCTGGCGAAAAGAAAAGACCTTAATGGCGGAAAGTTGGAACAAAACAAATTTTGACAAAATTATAAAACTTAGTTATATCGACACAAGCTATAAGTAGGACCCAAGGTTTCATCTTACCAGCCCTGTGTGTTAAATTTAATTCATTCCTGTTTTTTTTTTTGTAAACTGAAAACGTTTTACTCTAGCTAGTTAGTTCAGGATAAAAGTTGTTAAATAAAGCCCTTTTGATGTTAACATTTTTGTTATTATTACCCTTTATAAATTATGGTCAAATATCGTCCCTCGGACGTCTGATTTACGTCCCTAGGATGTCCCTCAATGGTCCCTATGACGTCCTTTGGGATGTCCCTAAGATGGACGGAAACGGGACATTAGGACGTCCATTGGACGTCCGATTGACGTCCCGGTACCAAAATAGGACGTCCCTTGGACGTCCTTTATGTCCCTGTAGGACGTCTTTTAGACGACAATAAGACGTCCGTGTGCTATGTGGGGATATTGCTCGATAATTTCGTTCGCGTTGATAAATAATCATTTCTTTCGAAATACAATTATTTTCTTACGGGAAATTCCACAACCATTTAATGCAGTAGATAGATTTATAATCACATAAAAAGTCAATACGTACAGTTGTTTGCAAATTAATATTTTCAAGTTTAAGTTCATCTCGTTATTTTGGGTTCAAAGTTGTTATTTTCTTTAAACATTTCGAATGATATTCGGCGTCATATTGGTTTAGCAACAACAAATTTCCGTATTTAAATTTTTTTCTTTGCGAAATTCTAGTACACTGGTTTTTTTTTAAGTTTCGTCGCTGCATTTCAAGAATTTACCGTCATTTTTGCATACAAAAAACCTCGACAATCCCTAAAAAACGAACCGTTTTCGAAAGTGTGTGGTTGAGAAGCGAGTAGTTTTTGAAATCTATATCCCTGACTGGCATTCGATGAGCATTTGTTTTTTAAAACGTGTAACAAGCAAATAATATGTCTGGCTTTACCGTAAAATGTCTCTATTGTTGAATTCAAGTAATGTGCAGGCCATAAAAAAATTAGGATTATTGCCGGGTTTGTTTATCCACATCGGAAACATCTACTACATCTACATCTGCGTTTGTTTATCCCAGATGTAGCTCTCCAGATTACATTTTTTTACATCTCGATTTGAAATGAGACGTGAATAAGATGTTCGTTCCATGCCAGAAAGTAGGTGTTCTGTGAAGACAAGATTAATTTATCCTTTTTTTTATTATAGCGTGAATATAAAACTGATTGGTGTGTTTAATTTTTGTTTAGATTTCAAATTTAGGTTGATTTTTAGTCTCAAAAGTCAAATTTAAAAAATATAAACTTCTAACTTATCATTGTCATTTTGTCACGTGACCAATAAGGTCTAGAGCGTTTGTTTATTACATCTACGTTTAAATTTAATCCACTATTATCACGTGATAAAAATTCAGAACATTTCAGATGCATCCGATGTAGATATTCAAACGCAGCATATGTAATTTAATTACAACAAACCATTTGTAAATTTATCGAATGATGATTTTTTCTAATGACATAATAAATAAATGTTGAGGAAAACCTGAATCGTTTTTTTTGTGGAAAAATAGTTATACGGGTGCAGTTAATACAACCTAAAATTCTAGGAAAATCGTACGTCATAAAAAACCTACTTTTTAAAGTACAAAATTAATTTAAATAATAACTTAACTTATCTCATTTAGTTTTTTAT